TTTCTTTACTTTTTAAAAGTAAGTTCTGTACTTAACATGGGGCTCAAACTCAGCGCTTGAGATCAAGAGTTGTGTACTTCACCAATTAATGCAGCCAGCCACCCCTATGGGGATTGTTTTTCTTAAGTAGAAAGAAGTCTCAAGGTAGAGGACAAAGTTAACCAGGGTGGTTCCATCACACTACCCAGCTGCTTCTGTCTTTTGCTCAACCATCATCCATAGCACATCTTGGTTGGTAGTTGCAAAAACCCATTGCTTTATCTCCAGCATCATGTCTGCATTTCAAGAAGGAAGGAACGGTGAAGAACAAGACATTTGATATTTGATAGCACAAATGCGTAAACTTAAAAAAAAAAAAAGAAGCTTGTGGAGTTTCTATCTAGTGACTTATGCTTGCATCTCAGTGGTCAGAATTGTACCACTAGACAGCCCTCACTGCAAAGGAAGCTGGGAAAATAGGTTTTAAAGCAGTAGATGTTGCTGCTCTAAATAAAACAAGTAACAATGAATAGAAAAGACATTGCGATAGCATTTAGCAGGTTTTTGACACAGTCTTTTTCAACCAAAACTTACCTCAACCAAATTACTTAGTTTAGCAAACTGAGAGACAAGGAAGAGTAGTGATTACAACTAGTAATTGAGATCCAACTTCCAATATTATATAAGCCATATTAGATGATTTAGGGTGGATGGAGGAATTCTTAACAGGAGAAATGTGTGTGTGTTTATGTGATATACATGTTCATAAAGTTACAAGGTCTTTTTAGGTAAGCCAAGTGATAGTTAATTCAATGAGATATAAAACAGATAGCATTTATTCCTGTTTTAATATCCAAATAATGTCAACTTTTTTATTTTCCTTTTTTTTTTTTTAAAGATTTTATTTATTCACGAGGGACACACAGAGAGAGGCAGAGACATAGGCAGAAGGAAAAGCAGGCTCCATGCAGGGAGCCCGATTTGGGACTCGATCCTGGATCCTGGGATCACACCCTGAGCTAAAGGCAGCCACTCAACCGCTGAGCCACCCAGGCGTCCCTTATTTTACTTTTTTTTTTTTAATGTCTATTAATTCTTTTACAAATTAAATAAATGCTTTACCAAAGCAAATATCTTTTCTTTCATAATTCATCAGGAGAAATTTCAATAACTTGAAGAAATCTGAGAACTATAGAATCAGGGTCTTGAGAATCTTAGGTAAAATAGTAACCTATTTTATTGTGGCATTTCCTTACAACCCCACATAAACTGGCAAGTCATTGAACTTCTCTCTCTCTCTCTCTCTTTTTAAGATTTTATTTATTTAATCATGAGAGACACACAGAGAGAGAGGCAGAGACACAGGCAGAGACAGAAGCAAGCTCCATGCAGGGAGCCTGATGTGGGACTCGATCCCGGGTCTCCAGGACCACACCCTGGGCCGAAGGCAGTCGCCCTACCGCTGAGCCATCCAGGGATCCCCAGTCATTGAACTTCTTTGTGTATTTGCTTATCTTTCCACCACATCCATTTGTAATATTTAGTACTTTCTTTGCACTAGGTACTCACAAAACCAGCGAGTTAGTCAGAGATGTAAACCATTAAGTAGCAATATCAACATCTTTAATATCATCTGTTAAATAAGAAGTCTATCATGGATACTAGCCAGTAGTTTAGTAACTACTGGCTAAAATAGGTACTATGGGATTGTATTACGTGATGGATAAAGCAGCACAGCATTGGGTTTGAGCATGGATTGGATCTGAATCATGACTCTTGTCACTTATTAGCTGTATAATCCTGGAGAAATTTCTTGACACATCTGTGCCTTAATTTCCCTATCTGAAATTGGGGATAATAATACCAACTTGTAAGTTTGCTAGAACAAAACTAAATTGGTTATCACCGGAACATTTTTTTAAAGATTTTAATTTAACTTATTTGAGAGTGAGTAGGGGTGCAGGGCAGAGGGAGAGGCAGAAGCAGACTGCCCACTGAGCAGGGTGTGCAACACCGGACTCCATCCTAGGACCCTGGGAGATGCTTAAGGCACTGAGCAACCCAGGCAGCCCTATCACTAAAACATTTAAAACAGTTCTGGTAACAGAACTCAATTATCTATTGCTGCATAACAAATTAATCTAAAACTTAGTGGCTTAAAAACAACAAAAATATATTATCTTAATTTCCATGGGTCCAGAATCCACTTAGCTAGACTGTTCTAAGCTCTCTCATGAGATTATACTTATATTTCAACCATGGCCACATCATCTGAAACCTTGACTCAGGTGAGAGGGCTCACTGTTAAGAAGGCTCTCACAGCCGGAAATTGGTGCTGTCCACTGGAGTGCTTATTCACTTACATGTACCTCCCATCATTGGTAGGGAGCCATCAAATCTTGCCCAAGTAAGGGACGATCTCAAAAGGAGATGAATACCAGAAAATAGGGGTTGTTGGAAGCTACTCTGTAGGCTGCCTACTTCAATGGGGGTACTGTGCTTTTGTTGGTTAAATAAACTATATATGCAAGTGTCACTATATTTCCTCATTTGAGTTCCTCAGCAATGGTAATTAGAAAAAAATGAAGGAATCACAGAAACTCCTGGAAAGTCAAGTCTACTATCTTTATTTAAGGGCTCATTTGAAAAGATTACATTAATCAAATGAATTTCTTTAAATAAATATGTGAATATAGTTTTGTCCAAAGAAGACAAACTTTATTAGAAAATTATGAAATATTACTGAATCAACCAAAGATTACAGTAGTCTATTTTGCAGTATTATTCACTAACTATAGATTAATCTAGGTCTTTGCTCCATTATAGTCAAAAGTCATGAATTGGTATTCAGAATTCAGGAGATCTTGTTCATATGAGGCAGGAATTGTTTCTCTTTTAAATCAGGAAAATGAACGGAAAAGGATAAGGAACCCCAAAGTCAGGATGCAAGGAAGCAGGCAACAGCTGCTGAGCTCATGTGCCATGAGCATCAGATCAGCTCTGTCCCCCTTTTCTCTTATTAAACCTCAAAAATGTACTCCGGCCTAGTCGTGAATGGAAAATAAAGTACACAGTTTAAAAAACAAACCGCAAAGTGGTATTTATTTACATTAAAATGTGAATTACTTGTATACACACAAATAAGAGGCACAATCTGTTATGCACAATAACTATATAATCTTCAGTACATATTATACACAGTAGCATCTGTTAAGTCAGTGGTTTGAGTGAAAACACAGTACCAAAACATTCCTGATACAAAATAAATTACTCATTCACATATTCTAATCATACAACAGTTAATATTTAAAAAGTTAATGCACTTCAAAAAACACTAGCTACATGTACAACCAAAATGTATTAAGTTTGTTTCATGAAAAGTGTCTTAAGATTATTAGGCATAAATGATCCCTTTCAGGATACATTTTTATTTTTTAAATAAATAAACTACATTGATTTCAAGACCATTTATATATAGGCCCCTAAAATATGATTGAAGACAGACATTACTTCATATTTTAAAGATGTAACTATACTAGAGAATATGCTAAACTATTGCCCCCAAATTCCAACACTGCCATTCTATTTTTCAGACACAAATTATTTAAAGATCTAATTTTAGTATATGAGATTAGCTGCCTTGTTTTGCAAGTTGTTTCTGCTAAAAAGCATTAACAGACTGTCCTCAACAAATATCTCCTATATTTGAGAGTCAAGATTTTTTTAAAAAATGTTAAAATGTTTTAGGTTAAAGCTGATACTGTATGTGGAGATTTTTTAACACTTTTCTCTTAAGACCTTTGCAAAAAGATCTTTTCAAATTCTGAGATCTATCAAAGATTCCTATCAAGTCAATGAGAACACTTGAATACTTTCATAACGCAGTGAAGGATTCATCTTTGGCATTTCTCTGTTAGTTCTAAAATAAAATATGTCAACAAACATTTTTTTTATTTTTCTATCTACTTACTAGACATTCTGTACACAAAACTATGTGATTGAAATTGTGTTTTAACCACAATCTCATTGCTAACATTTTTCTTTTATCTGAAAAAAATATTAACATTCAGCTTTTTACTCTGAGAAGCTGAAATGTTTTGATGTTGCTGAAATGAGTTTGCTTAGTTCTCTTTTTCAGTGATTAGAAATTCATCATCTTTTAAATTCAACAACGGAAAGCAGACATACTTTTTACATTAACAAAAATATTGACCAGAGTGTAATCTTTGAATATTGATATGAAGCATGCATGTATTAAGAAAAAAAATCTTCAAATATGGGCATAACAGAAATATAACTGCTTGCTACATTTTCTTTCTTGGTCCCTGTAGCATTTCTAAAAGGAAACAGACAAAAACAAACAAAACTGCTACAAATGCTGATTTGTCTAAATCCTCCCACATTGCCTTCCACATTAGATTGCCACGTTACTTCCAATGTTCAATTTTTTTACTCTCATCACACACTAACCTTAAGGCTAAAAAACAGTCCAAGTATGACTACTGTAAAATGATAGCGGAAAACCACAATAAGGATTTTACAACTGAGCACATTTTCCTCATTCAAAACTAACATGGGGAAAAAAAAATCTCAGTAAAAATGGAATCAAATATGACTTGATAGTTCAAATGCCAGCTACATTCTCCAGGGCTTACTGAAAATAAACAAAGAAACGAAAACAAAAACATAAATAGTAGAGCTAATTACTGGTACTTACCAATGTCTGCAAAGGTCTTGGGTAACAAAAAAGAGCTAGTAACGATGGCTTTATTGTAACATTAAGACGTATAAAGTGAAATTAATAATTCCCTACTGCTTTCCAACCAGGCAGAATCATGGAAATCCAAGCAGAGAATGATGCATTGCAACCGAAGGAACTGGAGTATAAATTGGTTACTTTTACTGTCTGGCACTGAAACATTTGGATAAATCTACAGCTATTTTAGAAAGAAAATAAGCTGATACAATAAATAGGTTTTAAAAATCTGGAGAATGCAGATTACATAAATAGGACACATAACTGAATTTGTGAAAGTAAATTTATTATAGAATATGGCAGATACTGAACATTATACATGCAGCTTATATTAATACTGCTATCTCCCAGCCAATGTAAAAACCTGACTCCAATACTGTCCTTCAAGTATAGTTCAAACTAATAGTTACATATGATAACCAAGTAAATCCATTACCAGCTCCTGCTAATATAATTTAGTAAGAACTGGGAATCGTAATATGGGCACGAGGCAATATTTACAGAATGTAATTTTAAGTGCATATGGTTATCTACTTCCAGAATCCAGAAAACAAAGTTACCCAAGCTCCTATAACACTTTTACCTCAATTCTATAATTTTAAAAGCGTATGTTGAAATGAGATCTCTCCAAAATCAAATAGGATCAATCTGTCTTATTTAATCCTAAACCAAAATGTTATGTAAAATTCTGTGTATCTAAATGTTACCTTTCAGGTAAATTTGTGAGATATTTTAGAGATTTTCTTTTTTATTGGAGGTGGTCTGATAAAGAGGAAGAGGCTCATCAGACAATCACAAATAATCTTATCCCTCCAGAATTCAGTTGAAGTTGGTCTTTTGCAAATGCTTATTGGGAATTTCTAAAGCACTGACTTGGAGAGGCCAAGAGCCTCCATCAATCCCTGCTTGGATAGCCACTCCTGTCACCACTGCCAGGTCAGGGTCTACAGAAGTGTTGGGATCCTTCCCAAAGAACTCTTGAATGACTTGGCGGATTCGAGGAATACGAGTAGAACCCCCAACCAAAACCACCTCATCAATCTCAGTCTTTTCCAGGTGGCCTTCTTTTAACACTTGCTGAATAGGTACAAGTATCTTCTGGAAGAGATCTTCATTAAGCGCGTCAAAGAGCTTTCGTGATATTTCTGTTTCAAACAACACCTGACTTTCTCCACTTTTCTTTTCAGAAAGGCTAGCTCCAAACACACTGTTTATGTGGTGGTCATCAGAGGGAGAAAATCTGTCCTTTGGCAGTTCAGTGTCACTACTCTGAGGCTCATTCTTGTCCTTTTCCTCCACTGTTAGTAATACTGACAACTGAGCAGACTGATGAAGAGTCAGATTCAATTTGACCATTTCCACAGCTTGTCTTAATCTGTGAATTTCCTCTTTCCTAGAGGGTAGAAAGCCATATGTTTGATAGATCTGTTTATATAAGTACTGAAGCAGTCTTTGATTAAAGTCCTGTCCTCCAAGTTTGTTATTTCCTAAGTTAGAAATAAAAAGGTATATGTTATATTTATGCATTTGTATGTGTATATACAGGTCTGTGTAGTATGTATGAAAATTATATACTAGGAATAACAAATCTCTTGCTTAATGTACTCTAACTCTTGAAATTTTATTCAAAGCTTGATTAAAAATAACTGGATTACAATAATTTTTTAAAAAAGATTTTATTTATTTATTCATGACAGACACGGAGAAAGAGGCAGAGACACAGGCAGAGGGAGAAGCAGGCTCCATGCAGGGAGCCTGATGCAGGACTCGATCCCGGATCCCAGGATCATGACCTGAGCTGAAGGCAGCCACTCAACCGCTGAGCCACCCAGGCGTCCCAGGATTAAAATAACTTTAACTTGGGTGCCTGAGTGGCTTAGTTGGTTAAGCATCTGCCTTCGGTTCAGGTCATGATCCCATGATCCAGTACTGCATCAGGCTCCCTGCTCAGCAAGGACCCTGCTTCTCCCTCTCCCCCTCCCCCACTGCTCATGCTCACTCACTCTCTCTCTCACGCTCTCTTTCTCTCAAATAAATAAAATCTTTAAAAAATATATTGGTATTAAAAAACTGCACATTTGGTTAAAATTTTTAAATAATAAAAAAGGAATATCTCTTAATGATATCAAATAATTTTTCAGAGGATAAAGGTTGACAACAAAGATTAGCTTTTAGTAGCAATTTAAAACCACTTAAAGTCACTATTTTCAACAGAAGTCCTTATAATTAATAAGTACCAGTAGGCACTTTATCTTTTTTAAATCCTTTTGCTTGCTAGATTAAGAGCTAAAATTAAAAGAGAGAGAGAGAGAAATTTAAAAGGAAAAGATTAATGCAATACAAATCTCTGGCACTGAATCTTAAGAGTCCAGTTAGGAGAAAGAAAAATGCAGAAGTTAGACAACCTATTAACTCACAGCTTCACTTTTTAAATAGGCTCCATTCTTTAAACTAAATTAAAAAAAAATCTTAAAAAGATTTAGAATACAAAATCCTACAATTTCCTAGAGAATACTATTATTATATTTTCTTACATATCTACTTTGTAAAACACATTATCAAAAGAAGTAAACTGATCACTCTTCATTTTATTATTTATTTATTTGTTTGTTTATTTGTTTGTTTATTTATTTATTTTTAAAAGACTTTATTTATTCATGAGAAACGCACACACACAGAGAGGCAGAGACACAGGCAGAAGGAGAAGCAGGCTCCATGCAGGGAGCTTGATGTGGGACTCGATCCCGGGTCTCCAGGATCACAGCCGGGGCTGAGGGCAGCGCTAAACCGCTGAGCCACCAGGGCTGGCACCACTCTTCATTTTAAAGAATTTTTCTTGCTTTCTGTTCCCTTCACCACAGCCATGAAGTCCTATTGGCTCAGTGAGCTACAACTGGCAATGTATTTATTTGTATTATAGGATGCTCAGTCATTTTATTTAGACTTCACTTTTTGTTGTAATCATATACATAAATGGTTATAAAGTTACATATACAGACTACCAAAGTGAAGTCAAAGTATACTGAAAACATTTGATTTTTAAAAATTTTATTTAAAGATTTTATTTATTATTTATTTTAGAGAGAGAGAGCAAGGGGAAGAGCAGAGAGGGAAAGAATCTGAAGTAGACTCCATACCAAGTACAATGTCTCCAATGGGGCTTGATCTCACAACCCTGAGATCATGACCTGAGCTGAAACCAATAGTTGAATACTTAACCAACTGAGCCACCTAGGCAACCCCGAAAAAAATTTTAAAATAAACACTTAATACACTTGGTGTGCTAATAAGGAAAGCACTGTCTAAAACTCTTTTAGTCTTCCTGTATTTTTCTTACCAGACATTGCTCGGGTTAGAAACATTCCTCCTTGTTTATTTAGCAATGACACATCTAGAGTTCCTCCGCCCAAATCTATCACCAAGACGTGAAAGACCTCAGCCTTGTGGAGGCCATAGGCCATAGCTGCCGCTGTGGGTTCATTTATTACCCTCAAGATCTTCAGTCCTGTAAGATTGGTTGGAAGGAAGAAGAATTCATCAGAGGATACCATTACCAAAATTCCTTCCCATCAACCTCATTATGTTAGTGTATTTTATGGAACATGACCTCCGCTGAGTAACAATGACTGTAAACATAACACCAAAAATAATGAAATGGGAAAGATAAAAATTGGTTGTAAAATTATTCCAAAAAATTTTTAATATAAAAGTTCAGATTCAGTTGAATACGTCATTATTTTCTGTATTAACGTTTAATTTTAAAAAGCATAGCCCCTTCTAATTTTCATTATTTTACCTGGGAATATATGAGCAATAAAACTTTAATTATTATGTGCTATAATAAATAAATTGTTGTAGAAATAAAATAAGCTTACTATGCTCTTCTTTTTAAAGTGACTGAAAAAAAGGGGATAACAGAAGAGATTATAAAAAAAAATCTAGATAAAAAGTCCTTACAATCTAAGACCCTCAAATGTAAATCTGAAATATATAGCAAATCTGATCTTGAAGGTACTGTTAAACGGTGAAAGTTCAAAGATCAGATTTCCTTGCGTAAACTTCCTGCTTTAACCTAAATGCCACATGTCAGGGACCATCTCTCTCTCATTCTCTCTCCTGCAACATACTTCCTCTCTTTATCTGGTAGGCTAACAACGTCGCCTCTTCTTAAACTTCACTTTCTCAATGAGGCCTGCCTGACCACTCTAAAACCACAAGACCTCTCACTTTCTGAAGACCCCTGGCAATCCTGTAGGAACAGGATTTTTTCTTCCATAGCATGTTATTTTTGATATACATTATATCAAGGTTTTCAAACTGGGGCAATTCTGCTCCTCAGGGAACATTTGGCAATGTCTGAAGACATAAAACAGTCACTACTTGGAGGACAGTGCTGCTTGCACCTAATGAGTAGAAGCTAGGGGTGCTGCTAACTATCCTATAATGCATAGGACAGTTTCCCACAACACAAAATTATCTGGCTCAAGATATCAATAATGCTAAGAGTGGGAAACCCACAATATACTTATCTTTAATACAGATTTTGTTTCCCTCTAGTAGGATATAAGTTCTGTGAGAACAGAGATTTATCTGTTTTATTTACCAAGGCTCTCAATATTTATTGAATAGTTTTAAAGGAGTTGTCTTCCACCTCAGATTTTCAAGAAAATATTACTTTTATCTTAACATTAAAGAAAGTTTATAGAAAAAAATTCCTCCTTGCTACAGAAAAACATGCACCCATGTTAGCCTTGTTACATGCCTATCTGACTGGCTATTGTTATAGTGTGTTCCATTTTACATTGTGCTATAGAATTTTCTTAAATTTCTTTTATAAACCTATATCAAAATCCATCTAATTTACCCACTTTGGGTTTATTTATGTCCTCCTTTGTTGGTTTGCAAAGTGATACACCTTACTACAGATTTTCAACCTGAGAACATTCTGAGAAATGTACCATTCAAGCAAGGGTGATATTACCTGCAAGGTTAGCAGCTTCAATTGTTGAATTTCTCTGTTTTAGATCAAATTCTGCTGGTACAGAAATAACAGCATTGGCAACTGGCATTCCAAGATATTCCTCTGCCATTTCCTTTAACTTCAACAGTAGTCTAGAGCCAACATATTCTGGGGAAACGGTGATGGTCTCATTACTTGTCACAGAAAACTCAACCATTCCATTTTTGTTTAAAACCTGTGAATAGTATTTGAAAAAACAAAAAAAAAAAGAAATGTAAAATCAAACATATACACACACATATACTTAAAAACATATGTACTGAACTTATTCAATAAAGACTTTATAAGGTCATAAAATTTATTTGTAATCTATCATTTACTAAGATTAGAAGTTATTGAAAGCTATACTTTAAAACCTATAAAGTGAATCTACAAGAACAGCAGAATAATAAAATCCATCACCAAGCACATAAATGGAACACAGAAGATTCTCAATATATATTTGTTAAATGAATGAAAGAAAAACAAGATGAAATATAAGGAATAAAAGTTGCTGGATCAGATATTTGACTTAGGATCTTCTTCCTTTTTTCATTTTTTTTTTTAAGTTAACTTGTTTCCAAAAATAAAAGATAACTGAAAAACTGTTCTGGTACATATTAACAAGAATAATTTTGGTACTTCGCTATGTTTTTATCCAAAAATCACTTACCTTCTTATTTCCATGAAAACATGTACTCACTCATTATCCCTGCTAATGTGGTTATATATTTCAAAAACTAGATTAATTCTAAAACTACGGTCCTACTTTCACCAACAGACTACATTCATATCAACATATCAACAGAAAAGAGAATCAGTCTCCTAAGAAATTGTAAGAATTTTACCCCAGTCATTCTAGACCACAAACTGGGTTTCAATCAAAAAAACTTGACCATTAACAAACCTATCTGGGAAACAGAAAAACAAGCCACAGATACTATGTAAATAAGGTTCAAAGACACCATACTATCAGACTCCACATGAAACAGAAACAACAAAAAAACAGAACACTTAAGAAACTCAAAACAACAAAAAAACTCAAAATAACTCTTGGTTGAAAAACAGTACACAGGTTCCTAAAAAGTTGGAAACCGAACTACTATATGATGCAGCAAGTCCACTTCTGGGAATATACTCTTATGTCGAAGAACCACCTGCACTTCACGTTCATAATAGCTGAGCCATGAGTACAACCCAAGTATCTATCAATAGATATATGGATTAAGTTGGGATATTCATATACAATGGAATGCTATTCAGCCTTAAAAAAAGAAGACAATCCTGTCCTTTGTGACAACATGGATGGACTCTGAGGGTATTACGCTAGGCACAGGAAGTCAAACAGGGAAAGACAAACGCTGTATGATCTCTTACACGTAGAATCTAAAACAACCAAACTCAGAGAAAGAGATTAGATAGATTACCACAGGCAGAAGATGATGGGGGAGAGTAGGGGAAATGGATGAAGGTGGTAAAAAGGTACAATCTTCCAGTTATAAGATAAGTAGTACTGGGAATGTAATGTCAACATAATGACTATAATTAATATTGCTGTAGGATATATCTGAAAGTTGTTAAGACAGTAAATTCTAAGAGCTCTCACAGCAAGGAAAAAAGTTTTTTTTTCCTTTTTTGTATCTGTATGAGATTACAGCTGTTAATGTATTGTGCTAATCATTTCACAATATATTTAAGTCAAATCATTATCCATACATCATAAACTTATATAGGGCTGTATGTTGATTATATTCCAATAAAACTTGGGGGAAAAATAACTCTTGCATCAATAAATAATTGTCTCAAATTCTTAATTTTGCTGAAATATAGAGCTTCATATAATTTAATCATTATTTAAGAAAAACTTATAAATTGATAAAGGACCCTAAGTAAAAGTTAATAAAGAACAAAGAAATAAACCTAAGAAATGCACAGGGTAAATTTATTTTCTCCTTTGGAAATGCATGAAATATTTAAGAATTTTGTTCAATAAGAGCACTGATACAGCTATCAGTTTCAAAAGCTATTCACTTAGAATTCCTCTTCATAATTTACAAGAAAAACCCTCTATGGAAAAAACATATTTAAAAGATATGAGTAGGGGGGTGGGCGAAAAGGTTGATGAGGATTAAAGTGTACACTTATCATGATAAAAAAATGTTTTAGACAAAAAATAAAATATTTAAAAGAAAAAAAACCCCAGCAAAACACAAACCTACAAATAGTCATGTAAAAGCATTAGGAAAAAATAGAAGTGGATAGGAATGGGAAAGGCTACAGTAAGCATGATAAGAGTCTATAACTATTTTTTTTAAATTTGAGATGATTTTGCCACATAAAAATTTAATATTCTTGAGAAGTAAAAAGTAAAAATAAATACATAAATCTTAAAAAAAAAGAGTAACTAGGGATGACACAACACAGGGAAGATTGAACACAGACTTTTCAATCAATGGTTTGGCAATAGAAATCAAAGTATTTAAAGAATACAAGTTCTTCTACTTCTAGAATTCAAGTTTAGGAAATTATCAAGAAGTACACAAAAATATGTACAAGAATATTCACTGAAGCTGCAACATAAGTGGAAAACCAGGGAAAAAATAAAATGTGCACTTATCAAGACTAGACAATTGAATAATGGAATAGTCATTTGAAGGAACCATGTCATATTGTTGAATTTTAAACAAATCATAAAAAGGATGCCTACTATGATCTCTTTTTATGTATACAAGTACGTATATCCTAACACACCCAGAGCATCTATTCATCTATCAAACCATCCATCCATCCATCCATCCATCTGTCCACCCCATAGTACATGGGGCTTCATTAGCTTTCTTGCTACAGTGAAACCAAGAGCTAAGCAGATATTCTGAGGATAACAGCTCAAGAACATTGTAAGGCTCCAAGTCTATGATAGAGCTGTGGAGCCAATGAATTAACTCATCCTGGAATTGCTGTAGGACTGCTTGTTATCATGTAACTTCCATGCAGACCAAGTAAGTTGAAACAGAATGTTTTGTTACTTGAAGCCAAAACATTAATTGAAACAGTATGCTAAACTAAAATTAAAATAGATTTTAGCTTAATCACTTACCTTAAATGGGTATCTGCCAATTTCAGCCTCCAGCTCCTCTGGGGTAAAAATCTTGCCTATGAATCTCTTGGCATCATATATTGTGTTCTGAGGATCTGAATCTGCCAACTCTAAGCTTTCATAACCCACATATACATCATTGTCAGTAAAGGACACCATACTGGGTATACTGATGTGCCCATTTTCATCTGGAATGACCTTTACTTTTCCTGTGCCAGGAAAAAACACCCCAACAGAACAGTAGGTGGTGCCAAGGTCAATTCCAATCACTTTAGGAGTAGGCAATGGTAAATACTGTTGTGCCAAATAGCCAGCCAACAGGAGAGTCAAAACAGCTGATCCTGAAATAGAGGCAAGTTAAGAGATAGTCTTATTAAACTAGTACAATATGCTAAATTACAAATATGCTATTATTATTTAAATTTAGTTTTTAGTCTCAACTCTTTGAGACGAGAATAACACACTCTCAAAATATTTTCTTTTATAGTACTAATGATAATACTTCTCTCAGACATCAAGTTTTTCATAATGCAAAATGACTATACTACAATTAAAATAAAGGAACAACAAAACCAAAAACCCCTGTAGTTGTATGTCTGTGTACTTTACCTATGGGAGAAGAAAAAGTAAAAACATAATAACTGTGTTGATGCTGACAGGAAAAGTCATTCATCTCTAGCAAAGGCTAGATAAATATAGATATAATTCAATGTCTTGATCAATTGATATTTAAATTTAATTGCTTTATAAACAGCCTTAATTATCACTATTAAAAAGAAACTTCAGGGCAGCCCCAGTGGCGCGGCGGTTTGGCGCCGCCTGCCGCCTGGGGTGTGATCCTGGAGACCCGGGATCGAGTCCCGCATCGGGCTCCCTGCATGGAGCCTGCTTCTCCCTCTGCCTCTCTCTCTCTCTCTCTCTCAGTCTCTATGAATAAATAAATAAAATCTTAAAAAAAAAAAAAAAAAAGAAGAAACTTCACTGGGACGCCTGGGTGGCTCAGTGGTTGATCATCATCTGCCTTTGGCTCAGTCATGATCCTGGTGTCCTGGGATCGAGTCCCACATCGGGCTCCCTCCGGGAAGCCTGCTTCTACATCTGCCTGTGTCTCTGCCTCTCTGAGTCTCATGAATAAATAAATAAAATCTTTAAAAAAAGAAAATAAATAAAGAAAGAAAGAAAGAAAGAAAGAAAAGAAAAGAAAAAGAAACTCCGTTATTAGTATTTCCACACCAAAAACTGTTTAGAGGGCTAAAACTCTTTATTCCCTCATCTCCTTTTTCCTTTCAAAAGGATGCACTGGATAAACTGGCAAAATGATCCTGAAAGTTGTTTAATTATGAAACGGCCACTTTACAACAGAACAGAGTTAACTTTTTCTGTGTTTAAATATGAATTAAGGAAATACTTCTTGCAGAAGTTAACATTTAGAGAAGGAGAACCTAAATGTGTAACCCTAAAGGCAACATAAAGCTCCTTGAAGACAGGTTTTGTTCACTGTTGTATCCCTTGCACCAGGAATGGCTCCTAGCAAATAGCAGATGCTCCACAAATACTGACTTTAAACACTCACACTCACACACACACACACACACACACACACACACACACACACAAAAGAACAAAAGCTATGCAGATCGTAAACATAAGTGACTAAGAAAGATATCCCTTCCAATTCACAATTAATCTGTTCTTTGGTTTCAGGAGACTATGTCTGTAATCTGTAACCACAGGTGTTACATATGACCCCAACGTCAATTTGTAGTAGGAGTCTGTTTTACTAATTGTGAGCTCATCCTCATCAACACATAATTCAAAAAAAAAAAAAAAAAAAGGAAAGAAAATGAAATCAAGCGCCAACCCCACTTTCCTCTTGCTCCTACGTGGAAAACTTCAGGAACATTTCATTATTTTCTCGGTCGGGGAGGGCTAATTACTAACCCCGATCGGTAGAAAGAGCATCAGACTATACATCCAAGAGGCCCGGCTCTTTCCAAACGCAGCGTCCCAGGAGTCTACAGCTCCGGCCGCCGGCACAGCTCCTCCCCCTTCCTCTACAAAGGGGTCCTGGGGATGCACGTTCTTGCAGTCTCAAAGGCCGCAATTCAACCAACGATTCAAAATCGACATCCTTTTGAAAAGAACCTTTCCCGAGGCCCGATGTCCCTGGGATGCGAGCAGAGGGTCGCCGCCGGCCCTACAGGGCCTACTCCGGCCCAGGCCATTTCTGGGCGCGACCCTCAATCCGGCGCCCCGAGAGCCAAAAACCGCCTCTAAGTCACCCTTCCGGAGTCCTTCTCACTGCGCAGTTTGATCCAGGAGGTGACAACCACCCCTGCCCATCCTGGCCTCCCCAAACTGCTCCAGTGTCCACAACAGCCACAGAGAACCCCTGGTCACTGACCTAAGATCGTCATCTCTCCAGCCATCACAGTCCCGCCGGAGGGGCTTGGGATGACTGTACCAGACGTGAGGTGCCGCCCCCACGCCACCTCCCAGCCCCGAGGCCTACTGGGTAACGTAGTTCTCTTGCTTCAACGCTGTTCGAGAAGCTACATCTCTGGCCAGAGAAGGGACTTCATTTACCGTCAGGTCGCGGGGCTGAGCGCCTCCATTCAACCGCTGCCAGTGACGTCTGAGCCGCCCTCCCACGCCCGGACTACGGAGCCAATGAGGCTGAGGTGGAGGAGAGCCAAGGAGGGAGGCTGGCGTTTATAATCAAACCTGAAGCGCCTGGAGCCAAGTTGAGGTAAAAAGACACGATCTCTTTAGCGCCGCCCCATCGCTTTGCATTCTGGGAAGTGTAGTTCTGGCCTGCTCCTATTCGCGAGAGGGAGAGCGGGGACCGTTAGGTTACTGCTTTTTCCAGCCAGTGTTCCTAACCAGGTCCAGGTTCGAACCTTCGTCTTTCGTTTCCTCCTGCCTTTTCAGGAATGCTTTCTTCGCCTGGGATCCAGATTCCGGATAGAGCTCTTCTAAACACCGCTCACCCCTCCAGCCTTCCTACAAGAGCCCCTATGGCAGTGAGCACAGAGGAAGGCCAGGGGGACATCCCTGTGACTTCTTCTTCTTCTTCTTCTTTTTTTTTTTTTAAGATTTTATTTATTTATTCATGAAAGACACAGAAAGAGAGAGGCAGAGACACAGGCAGAGGGAGAAGCAGGCTCCATGCAGGGAGCCCGACGTGGGACTCGATCCTGGGTCACCAGGGTCAGGCTCTGGGCTGAAGGCTGCCACCCGGGCTGCCCTCCCTGTGACTTCTAATAAGATCTTCAGCCCTCTGCTTTTGCTTTGGGATAAATGAGTTAAAGCAGTCTTCAGTGAATGTGATTTATCCAAGAGAGCAGGGACGCGTTTTCTCGATTGTTACTGAAGTCAGCTATTGCAAACAGAAACGAAAACAAAATATTTTAGCTTCCTCTTGAATTAAGTCATAATTGCCAGGAATTGCTTTCATGGACAAGTCCTGTAGCACGTAATGGCTTTTTCAGATTCTAATGTGTAAGAAATCCTACCCCCCCCCCTTTTTTTTTTGCTTCTTGGTCACTGGTAGTACCTAATAGCTCCTTGTCAGAGTGTTTTATCTGTCACTGCTGTCAAAGTTCACCAGAGCTATAATCCGGGAGAATTGAAATCCGTTTCCTCACCTTAGCCATAAATCAAACAATCCCTGTTGACAACTGGTCAACCTGTTGGGGGTATAAGCTACTACTGGCTTTCTGATTATAAAATGTATATGAAAATATTAATGGTTGTTGAGGTTGAAGTATAGTTAATGGGGATTCATTATAATCTCTCCACTTTTGTACATTAAAAAAATCTTTCATAATGTAAACTGTAAAAAGTGTGTGTATGTATGTAGTGAGTATATTCAGTATAATTTCCTTATGAAGAACACATATAATTCAAACGCTTAAGTCATGAATATTATTTGGTATAATGATCATTATAAACAAACATTTATTGACTGTAGTGGTAGCCACTGGTAACAACCAGAAGCAGAGATAGAGGATAAACACACGCATGTACTTTTTTAATGTTAAATACCGTGCAAATAAAGGAAACCTCATCTAAAATGGAGCTGGGAAGCCTTGAGGGGGTATCTCTCTGGGCCTACCACGGGTTGTCCGTTGCAGACCCCAGGAGGAAGAGCCATACCTAGCATCCTCAGCAAGAAGAAGCTTAATTTACTCCCCAGCAGGACCTAGTAAACTCTTCTCCTTGTCCAGCAATAGCAATAGACAACGAGAAGTTCAAACTCTCACTCAACTCCAAGGGACTTTTGTTCCAGGAAAGTCCTTCATAATTTTGTCACGTCCTCCATACAAACAAACCCCTCTCGTTTGGTTTCCCAGACTTGCCTGTGCTTCACGGCAGTTTGCTTGTCCTGAATTGCAATTCCTCTATTAATCCCAAATAAGCTCATTTTGCTAGTAAAATAACTGACTAGTTTAAGGATTAACAAAACCATAATTGTGTATGGACAGAGGGCAGAAACAGAATTGAATAAACACTGTAATTTTATGTTGAAGTCGAGAAGACTTAGTGAAAGAATATGTGAAAGAAATGAAGAGTGAAAGGGAGCCAGGAGATGAGTTAATAGGATAATATGAAACAATTGTTTGAAGGTGTTCCAGGAAGAGGGAACTGAATTACAAAGAGCATAGAAACAAAGGATAATCTCATAGGTTAGAAGTGCTGGATCATAAAGGATGAGGTGAAAGTCTGAGAGGTGGGACTGGAGACATAAACAAATCAGGAGAACTAGTCTTTTGTGGCAGGCGCTGGTCATTGCTGTCTGTTATCCCTGCCACCCACTCCTTCCTCTTTGTTATTAGGATCCTGATATGGTCAAGAAATAAATAGGTAGAGATTACATGATCTCAGAGTGGAATGCTCTTAATGTAGGGGGGGGGAACTAAAATGGAACTAAGCAGTTTCCACTTTTTCATTACTGCCTTAACAAATGACAACACAAATGACCATTTAGTGTCTTAAATCAACACAAATTTATTATTTTATATTTTTGTAGATCAGAAATTTTGATATGTCTCACTGGACAAATCAACAGGGGGCTGCATTCCTTTCTGGAGATTTTAGAGGAGAATTGTTTCTTGCTAGATAGGAGTTGCTGGCAGAATTTATTTCCTTGTGATTCTGGGATCAAAGTTCCTATTTTCTTACTAGCTGTAAACCGAAGGACATTCTCAGTTTCTAGAGGCCACCAACGTTATTTAGCTGACAGACTTTCTTCCTCTGTGGCAACAGTAGGCTCAGAAGACATCATGTAATTAAACTGGACCCACCTGGACAATCCAAGATACTCCCCTCATCTCAAGCCCTGGCACTTAAAAAAAGAAAAAAAATCCTTAGTCTATTTTGTCTGTAAAATAACATATTCACAGATTCCAAGAATTAGAATGTGAATGTAAGCCTATCACAGTTTGCACTCTGGCTCCCAAAGACGTACATCCATCTACATACAAAGTCTCATCCTATTACAGCATCAACTCAAAGTTCAAAAAGCTCTTCTAAACCTCATCAGCTCAGAAGTCCTAAATATCATCACCTGAATCATCTACAGTGGGTAGTAGATCTTATATCCCTGCTTCTTTCTTGTCTGCTTAACTAATTAACTAATGTTAATTAATAATAATGTTGGTTATACTAATGTTATAAAGGACAGTAACCACGAGAGTTGGGAAATAAGGGTGAGGGCAGGGATATGGAAAGAAATGTGGATATACTATCTTCTTCATTTTTCTTAGCAGGGAGTTCAAGGATATTTAGAATGGAAATTTAAGACATAGAAACTTAAATAGGTAATTCAAAGTTATGAAGACAATTTTCTGAAGGACTAAAAAATAATAAAACATATAGATAAAAGAATAGGTTATTGGGAAGAATAGGTGGGACAAAACTAAAATGTTTACTTTTTTCATTTTTCTATAGACAAGTGTCAATATGTGTAATTTAAAGTAAAATTTAAAAATCCATATAGCAAAATATGTGAACAAAGGAAGCAATAAGCCAAAAAATATGTTGGATGACAGATTTAGGATCAATTTTTATTATATACATAATATAAATGGGATAAACTAAAAACTGCCAGATTGTCCTTTTTTAATATACAGTTGTAACTATTTATTGGAAACTTTTAAATAGATAACCAAATGAAGTTGGTGGCCAGAAAATATCTTAGAGGGCATCTGAACCCACCCCCTTACTTATAGAGAGAAAAATAGAGGCCAAGAGAAGTCAAGAAAATTATGATCTCAATTAGTGTTCATTCTCTTAATAAATTATACTTCACCTTCAATTTAGTGATTATAAGTAATCTTTAACAATAGTAGCTGGAGTGAAAAATTGTCTAATTATATATCCCAATATTTCTCATTATTATTTCAGAAATGTGCTCTGTTAGGAAAATCATTGCCAAATAACAAAAATCTTACTATATATCAATCTAATTCAGGGGACAAATTATCCTTGTTGTTGTTTAATTCACACTTACTTCTTTTCCCTCATCTATTTAAAAACAGTTCATTGAATGGAAAATTGATCCAGTTCTCTGCACATTCATTAAAGGAATAAGTGTATTGAAATTGCAATTTAGTTTGAGTTACATTGTTAGATTCTATGGAACACTATAATATTTAAACATAAAAGATTACTCTTATATTAAAATTATTCCATAACAGGACAAATCTTATTTATTGAACCAGAGTATTTATATATATTTTTCCCCTTGTGCTAGACTGTTATGGTTCTATATATTCCTGTTTTCTGGGGATTTTAAATTTATTGCATGAAGATTTTTCATGTAAAGGTATAGGGAAATAAATTTGATTTGAAATAAGAAGCTGGTACTAGTGTTGTTGTTTTTTCACAGAACATTATTATACCTCCAAACTTTTGAAGGATGAGTATGTTTGCTCTTTATTTTGAAAATAGTTTACATTCTGGTTATTGCCTTTAAGTTTCAAATGAATGTGAAATGAATGTGAATGAAGTAGAAATATATAATACATATGTTTACAATAAGAAACAGATTATTTTTTAAAAAATCTATTTCTGATTAAAGCAATAATATCAACAAAAATTTAAAGGCATATGAACAAATGAATACTTCTTACATGATCAAAAATGTATCCTAAGCAACAAACCAGCACCAGACTTAGAATTATTACCAGTAAAATTGAGAGTGAGATAAGAATACTTATTTGCAACTATTATATAACGTTGCTTTGGAATTAACCTGTGCAAGGAAATAAAACAGGAAGTATAAATTTGAGGAAAATAAAAAGGCAAATTTATCATCATTTCCTAATTACATGATTATTATCTTATTTCAGGCTCCTAGAGCAAAATAACACAAACTGGGTAACTCATAAACAACAAAAATATGTTTCTCATAGTTCTAGAGCCTGTGAAATCCAAAATCAAGACACTGGCAGATTTGCCAGTCTGGTGAA